TTTTATTTTTTTATTTTTTTATTTTTTTATTTTTTTTTTTTTGTGTCTGTGTACACGATAAGTAGTCGAAATAATGCTTCGATTTTCGACTTCAGTATCTTGTTCGATTGAAAAGTGAATATCGTTGGTGCATTGGGGAGGTCAAAATTTAAAATTCCCAATAGTTTTCACAAGCGCCGGGAAAAAACAACATAAAAATTAAGGAAAAACGGGAATTTTTACGCAAAATCAGTTTTTGACAAAATCGAATTTGGTTTTTGGTGTAACTTTAAAACAAATGACCGTAGATACATGAAATTTTCACTGGTTGTTTATATTTGCATTTTCTATACACGATAAAATTTTCAAAATATTTTGATTTATTTTGAACTGTTTAGGGACATTTTCATTTTCCATTTTTTTTAGTTTTTTTTCTAAAAATATCAATAAAATTTTATTTGTTGGTTGCGAAAGCTTGAAAATTTAATAGAAGGCTCCTAATATGTTGTTTCAAAGGCAGATGAAAATTATTAAAAATCCTTAGTCACAATTTTTTTTTATAAGCATTTAAAGTTCAAAAATTGACAAAATATGGAAAAATCACGAAAATTAGCAAATTATTTTGAGTTAAGAATTCGTAAAAATTTTTCTTTTTAAATCTAAGATTTGAAAATGAAACACAAGATTCCTTATAAGATTATCTACCTTTATCAATAAAAAAATCTCTACCGGACAGTCAAATTAAATTTTTATGAGCGTTTGAAATTCAAAGTTTTACAACATTGGATTTTCACTCGATTACTCATGTAGCGATTTCCTTATTTTGTTGCAATTCAAAAACGAACAATTGTAGATACATGAAAATTTCACTCAATGTTTAAATTAGCATTTTCTATACACCATACAATTTTGAAAATATTTTGACTCTTTTTGAGCTGTTTATGGACATTTACAGCTTTCAATTTTTTTTAGTTTTTTTTTCTACAAATATCAATAAAGTTTTATCTGTTGGGCCAAAAAGTGTAAAAATTTAATACAAGGCTCCTGATATATTGTTACAATAGCAGTTGAAAATTATTAAAAATACATAGGCACAGTTTTTTTTTATAAGCATTTAAAGATCAAATTTTGACAAAATTTATCAAAATCTCAAAAATTATCAATCATTGTAATTAATAAATTATAAAATGTTCAGTTTTTATAGCTAAGGATTACAAATTCAACACAAAGGTTCTCATAAATAGTTCATACTATAACCAAAAAATCTAAAAAATATATGAACACAGTTATTTTTTACAGACATTTTAAATTCAAATTTGGACGAAATTACATATTAAAAAACCTAGAATAACTATTTTAGTTATTTTGTTGTGATTGAATAATATTATTCGTGGGTACTTGAAACTTCTAAAGTGTACTATTATATATCTATGATAGGATCACGGTTTTTGTTGATGTATAACGCGTTATAAGTACCTAATGGATATTGTGATATGATTAATTTGGAATTCATTATAGGTCAATTTTTTTAATACCATAGATAAGTATATAATATGTCTTATACATACACTGACATACCGTCACCGCTCAGAATCGTTTTTCTTATACAATGATATTATATCATTGAATTCAAATTTAATACCATCCATTATACAGTGACCCACTTGTAACCTACTGTACAGCAGAGCGACACCCACTTTTTTACTTTTGATTTTAACTTTTCCAAATTTGAAATAAGATAATTTTTTAGTTTATATTTTTATTGTATAAATTGTTTAGGATTTAGAGTGGTAAAATAAAAAGTGTACAAAAGTAGGTATCGAGTAGACTGGAGGAAAAATTCAAATCTGATTTCAGAATTCTGATGGCTTAACTAAATCAATAAATTGGTACCTATTTGTTGGAATGAAAACATGTCTAAATTCTATGCTACGCGTGTGTATCACACAATGTTTTTTCATTAAAATGTAAGAGTACCTATACCTACATGGGTCACCTTCGATTTTGCGATCGAAAAATCCAACAAATATTTACAAAAATGTACATACAAATCATATAACAGGTCAAATGATTAGCACAATTTAACGTCTTATTAATAAAACGGAGGGCGTCAAAAATACCGAAACCGAGGGTTTAAAATGGCGATTAAATGCGATGATATACATGGGCACCGTATTATATGTGGGAGGATATTATATATATGTGTATATTGTACATGTAAACAACCATGCACGTTATGAGGCGATGGGATTAATTTAGTTTTACGACCAGACAGCCTATATAATATTATTATGTTTTCGCACGGTTGTGTGGTTGCAGTACACCGTAATTATGGCTTTTCTCTGGAATCGTTAAATTTTGGAGGGACCAAATAATTTAATAAAGTCAAACGAAAAAAAAAAAAGTCCCATGCACAAAATTGTACCACTATTTGATACGGTCCCTGCGTACGTGACTTCTATATTATTATACAATTGTATATATACTTACCTATTAATTAATATTTTACGAAACAATAAATTATGGACATCAACTCAAAAGCCGTAGTTTTCTTCGATGCCTATACAATCCATAGGTAATAGACATTATAGATTATATAGAATATACAATAGTATAATAATTAATATAGACTATTCGTAAATATTATCGTAAATAATATCGAAATATTATGCATGGCACCATTTTGACGTCATGTACGCCTATATTATACGAGCACATGTGCCGTGTAAGTATGTAACTGTATACTCATACTGTATACTGTATATAGGTCGTGATTAGGATTCGATAGCCAGTTTCGATTTTTTCTAAACCAACTTTTTATAAATGTGTTATTGTCTTAGGGACAACTTTTTCTATGGTATTTACTTAAATTTAATTTTAATTCCCAAAATAATACCTATATATACATATATATTGGTATTTATTATTTATCATTTACAAACGTGTCCCTACCAAAGATATGCTCAAAAATTTGTATCAAAATATTTTGTACGTCATTTGTATGAATTTTTTGACAGTTTTTTAGAATTTCTTCGACATTATAGCATTTTAACAATATAAAAATATAGAAGGGGGGCCAGTAATATGACATAATATGACTCCAGGTCAAATTCATGTAAATAATTAAGTATTCATTTTATCATGCCCGATTCAAGAACTCAATTTGTCTGCATTTTTTATGGTTTTAGAAATTTGTATGCAACCTCCTCCCTCATAATAATCTAAACCTCCACCCGTCCCCACTCACCAATTCGGAATTTTTCACTTTCACGAAACTATTAAAGTATTAAACACCATTTGTATGGATTTATACGACCATTTTCAGAATTTGTATTCAACCTCCTCCCAAGTAATAACCAAAATAATAACCATTTTCCTATTTACGACGAGTTAATTTTTAGATATATTTAAAAATATTAATACAATTGTCAATTTGTTGTTTTTGCACTTTGCCGTATAAAATATTTTACTTGACGTTTGAATTTGTAATACTAGGTGAGTTGAGTTCGTGTCATTTTAATTACTATACAGTATACAATATTATATTCAATTAATTTTGAAATACGTCCTATGAACACGCCATTGTAAACTCAAAATCGTTTCCTAATGATTTATCAATGCTTTTATATTTAAATACACCCGTCGCCTCCGTTGAGACACACCCAACTCATCCGTCTCACTTGACAGTTTTTTAATACATAATTAGATACTTAAATAACACAGGTAGGTACCTATAGTGAACAAATCACAGTGGCCAGTATACAGTATTATATTAGGTACAAGGTACCTACGTGTTTTATATTTTAATAGTTATATGGTTACTAATATTTTATATTACTTGTCTAAAAATGGTAATTAAAGCTACGTGTAATTATTATTTATGAACGATTTATGGATTTCAATATTGACGAATTTGTCAAAAAAGGGTCGGGAAAAATAAACAAAAACTTAAGGAAAACGGGAATTTTTACACAAAATCGGTTTTTGACTATATAGATTTTCGTTTTTGGTGTAACTCTAAAACAAATAACCGTATATACTTGACATTTTCACTGGTTGTTTATATTCGCATTTTCTATACACGATCCAATTTTCAAAATATTTTGATTTATTTTGAACTGTTTAAGGACATTTTCAGTTTCCAATTTTATGAGTTTTTATTTGTTAGGTAAAAAAACTTGAAAATTTAATACAAAGCTCCTACTATAGTTACAATTAAAATTAAAAAATATTAAAAATCCAGTCACAAATTTTTTTTTATAAGCATTTAAAGTTCAAATCATGACAAAATACGTAAAAATCACAAAAATTCAAATTATTTTGAGTTAGAAATTCATAAAAATGTTTCTTTTTACATCTAAGATTTGAAAATGTAATACAAGATTCCTAATTAGATTCTATTTAATTAAGCATTCCTCTTACAAATAAAAAAAAAATATCGAGATCCTTCTATTCTGCTGAGGCATAACATTTTTTAACAGTATATTTTTTTAGTTTTTTTATTCTATAAATGTCAATAAAATTGTTTGTTTGGTCAAAAGCTTGAAAATTGTATACAAGCTCCTAATGTATTGTTACTTAATATTTTATTTACTTTACTTTATTATTACTTTATACGCTGAACATATTATAATATACCACGATACTACCATTGAATTGTAATTGATTTGTTCGAAATGGGACATTTCGCCGTAGCCGTTTCGCCGTGGCCGGTTAGCCGTGGCCATTTCGCCGTGAGGACATTTCGCCGCGAGCCGTTTCGCCGTCGGGACATTTCGCCGTGGTCGAAAAATTGTGTATAAACATAAAATTAACTTTGAATTCACCCTATATAATGTTATAATATGTTATATTATTATTGATATTATTGGATTTTTCGTATTTATCTTATCTTATCTTAAAATGTCTACACATCGCCCATGACCTTCGATGACGATGATCACAATTACAATTGTTGCAATAAAGTTTTAATCAGTTCTCATCTGGCGACACAACTCGCAGTAAATTAATAAGGTAACATAATGGAATCTCAAGTAAAATCTACTCGTGGTCGTGAAATATTTGTATATAATGGTTTTATGTATGTTTATGATAATGTTAATTTTAATAATACAATACGGTTTTGGCGTTGCCGTAATAGAAATGTTTGCAAAGCGCGAATTCATACAGGAGTAAATGACTACACAGTCATAAAAACTATCAATGAACATTGTCATGACTCGGAAGCGTCAAAAATCGAAGCAGATGTCGCTGTAACAAATCTAAAAAGAAGAGCTACTGAATGTATGGAGCCTACGTCTACTTTGATTAACATGTGTATTGCTCCATTGTCTGAAGCTTACGACTTAACTAGTCTCTACGACTTAATGTCGAAATGGGAGTATGCCATCCGTCAATCTGGGCTTTTATTAATTGTTTGAAAAAAGTTCAATCTGGCCATGATTATTTTTATTCTCAGTTAACTGCAGGAAAAAGTCCACCAAAAAAATTAAAAAAAATTTGCTGATCTAGATAAACGTATTTTGAAAATAGTACAACAATATGATAGTAGAGACTACATTTCATATTTAAAAGGCATAGCATATAATATCTCACTACCATGATTACTGCTTACCTTTATTATTATTACGACGAAATATTTATTATTACCTTTATTATTATTACGACGAAATATTTATTATTACCTTTATTATTATTATGACGAAATATAGTCTAAAAAATGTATTATTTTTATTAATTTTTACCTATTATTATTATATTCTTAACTATGAATATGACGAATATATTATGAATGTATTATTATTATAACGACGAAAATATTTATTATTACCTTTATTATTATTATGACGAAATATAGTCTAAAAAATGTATTATTTTTATTAATTTTTACCTATTATTATTATATTTTTAATTATGAATATGACGAATATATTATAAATGTATTATTATTATACGACGAAAATATTTAATGACCACGTCGAAACGGCCACGGCTAAATGTCCTCACGGCGAAATGGCCACAGCGAAACGGCCACGTCGAAATAGCCACGGCGAATTGTCCTAGATCCGATTTGTTGTATCAATATATGACTATATACCGTGGTAACCCTCTCCCATCCTCATCACTTTGAAAATCACATGTCATTATCGCTAACCACAAATGTTTACAGTACAGCAGAGCGACATCACTTGCCTACCTTTTTTTATTTTATAATCTTAAAATATTTTATAGTTAAATCCTTACGAGAATTTAATTACAGCAATTTTTTTGAAAAAAGTTTCTGGGGTGGATATAAATTATATATTAATAAGACGAAAATTATAAAATGTGTGTAAATATTTTTAATTGATGAAAAGTATAAACAATTTCGAAAAAATATTATATTGTCTTACATGTTGTTGTCATTATTAATAACCCCCTTGTATTATGTAGGAGGTGCAAAGATGTTCTTTTGCACCCGCAGGAGCTGAACTTTATACCTATTAAATTACAATACGAGTATGTACTATTTCATAATATGAAATACATCATACATATTATATTATATACTTATTGATTTTTCGAATTTTCTTATAAAAGCTATAACATATTTACACATAGGTAACTTGTACAAAATAATAAAATACTTAATGCTATAACTTGTATAATAATTTCGTGATTTCTAATTCATTATATAGGTAGCTGAAAGGTGTGTCACTGTATCATAATATATAATAATATTATAAAGACTAAATTTAGATTTTGGGTTTGGATATCGGTACCTATTTATTTTTTTCCGATTTCCTAACTGGTATTTTTGATTTCGTTTTCAGTTTTGATATCGATTTCGGGTTTTCACGGTTTCAACTATTATTCAAAATCTGTATCCAATATCGGTTTCAACTTTCAAGCCCAGGTTTAAAATATACCTACAGATTTTGATATTTTAATTTTATATTTTATATTAGGTATATGTTATATTATTATCAAATATAAAAAGATACCTAGTCCATATAGTATTGTATGCAACTATGCAAGCAAAACAGTTTTAAATATGAGTATTTTAATTTTTCTTTATGAAAATTGGACCAATAAAAGTTGTGCACCTGCTGAAATTTAATGGAATTACGCTAATGGTCATTAAGAAAGAAACATTTTATTGAAAGCCTGGTTTCCCAAAACATACAAAACACAAAGAGCACTTCATAAGTTTCTGGAATTTGTTAATCTTCAAACCCACATAAAGTCACTCATCTGAGCACCAATGAACTACTCAATAAAGGATATTATTCAGTCCTATTATATCCGAATAAGTAGTTATTAGTTGCTGTAACTGTTTTAATTAGCTTATATTTTATTCAGTTTGTTAACTTTTATATCTATATATTGTGTTTTAAATTAATTAAATATGGATCACAAAGGTTTTGTATATAAAAATAATGGGGGCATCCATAAAAATAAGAGTGTTCGGTAAGTTTAAATAAAATAAAAACTAAATCATCATAATATTGTATTCAATTGTTATGATTTTATATTTTAATATTACACAGATATTTGATCTGCAAAACCAAATATTGCAAAGGCTTTGCTAAAATGTTTGCGAATGGGACAATTGTTGAGTTGGAGAAACATACGCATGACCCTGATGAACCAGACCACAATCACATTTTAAAAAAAGCATTTAGGCAAATACTGAAAGGCCGTTCTAAAAACGAGACAACAAGACTCCGGACAATATATGATGAAGAAATGATTAGGTAAATATGAAACTAAATATTATTTATAAATTATAATTTATATAATTTATATCATCCCAAAGATTATTTGAGCAAAGAAGATTGTTCTTTTTTATCTGGAAAAGTTGTAATTTGATATAATAATTATTTGCCATACATAAGTCGGTGGTGGTAAATCTTTAGTTAGCAGTATTAGACAAAAACTAGTTAACAATATATACCTACAGTCAGTGATGTATATACAAATTATTTTTACTATGGGCAAATTTTGTCAATTTATTCAAGCTAGCAAGACTAACATAGCCATAATACTATAAATATATTTTAGGGAGCTGGGTGGTTATAATTATGACATAAAATACAAATAAAAATTGTGCATTAAATTTTATAATTATGTAAAATTAATTTTTTAATTCTTTCTAAAAAAATATTGACAATTTCATTATGGGCTCTGGCCTGTAATTATATTTTATTATGTACATAATAGGTATTGATATAATTTCTTGTTAAACATATTTAATGTTTTATGCTTTATTTATTTGTTTTAGACATACTAATAAAAAATATTACAATAATAAAATTATGCCTAGGTACCTATTTATAATATTAGGACAAATGTGTTGTATTTATTTTCACCCCTCATACAAAGAAAATACATCAAATAAACAAATTAAAATATTGATCTAAAAGTGTAAAATGAAATTAATTAAGATTAAACTTTTCAAATGATATTACATATTTAAAATATATTTTATTAGAAATTCAGCTGCTGCAACCATATACTCATGGCCAGTGGCTGAAATCTCGATGAGAAAAGCTAGGAGAACAACTATGCCAGTTTTACCATCATCATTGAGCGAATTGGCAAACTTCCTAGATTTCAATGTGCAACGTTATACATGTTGTCAACAGCCCTTCTTCCAAGATAAGGTTACAGATACACACGGGAAATGTTCAATAATTTTTGCATGCAGTGAACTTATTAGGAAAATTGTTATGCTTGGGAGTGATGAGTTGCATGCTGACGCAACTTTTAAAGTTGTGCCTTCAATTCCACCAAGCCGTCAACTTTTTATCATGCATTTAATATACCAAAACCACGTGAGTTTTGTTAATTAAAACTAACCATTTTTAAGTAGGTATGCATTAATCATTTCTAATATTTTATTAGTCCATACCGATTGTTTATGCATTGATGAAATCGAAGACTGAAGAGGCATATACAATCTATAATGACTGATTTTAAATCTGGGTTGCTGAATGCTTTTAAATCTGTTTATCCAAATGCAGATCAGCATTCTTGTTTTTTCCATTATATACAGGTATTTTAATGATAATTAATGTTGATGATGAGTAAATCACACTAACATCCCTCGACTTGTTATGTAAAACTTGTCATGAATTATTTTTGCACCATCATTCTGAAGACGTTGATTTAACTAGGTTAAAAAAATTGTTATTTGTTATACCTACTTAAGCTCGGTAAACTTTAAGCGTTGTACGGGTGAGTAAAAAACCGAAAATCCTGAACTTCGTAAGGCTATGCGATAACAACTTATGATTTCCGTGAGTTAATTTTTGCATCATAAATCTTATAACTGGTTGCAAATCATAGGTTTCCAAAAAAAAAAAAATTGAAAAATTTGCTTGGGTGCTAAACTATATGGTTTAGACACTAAATTAAAAAATATTCTAGGGTTTTAAGAAATTGTCTTCATATTATCACTTTATTTATTTTTATAGTGATATTACTGATATTATTGGTAGGGTAATTTAAATAGAAGAAGTTACATAAGTTTTTCCACCTGTAACAAAAAAGTAAAAAATATTTATACTTGAATTTTCCATACATGGTAAGATTTTCAAACTATTTTGACTCTTTTTGAGCTATTTATAGTCATGAGACAATTATTTTGTAAATTATTTTACAATGTTTGTTATTGTAATTTATTTAAAATTCATAAAGTTCCTTGTCCCAACCACTTTTTTTTTTATAAATTTGTAGGTAAAAATTTAACTTCCCCTGAACTGGGTCTATGGAGTATGGCCTCCGGCGGGAGAATGCATTAGATATTAGAATGTCTATCACAGATATAAACTACTGTAAATTATAATTTATATTATGTATTTGTGATGTCTATAAATTTGCAGACTAATTTGTTCGGTTAAATTTAGTATGCGATAAATAACTGAAATAGAAAACAAGAATACATTGCAGACCACAATCATTTCTGTAAAATAACACACGATTTATCAATAGACCGTTTATGTGCTGAGTGTAGAAGTTCTATGGATTTATCATATTAAAAAATATATTTTATATCATCTATGGCAATCGCCAATTGTCGACATTCGTCCGCGACGATTAACAATTCTAATAATTTTAGTGAAAAAAAAATAATAAGCCATCAATATGGACAGATAGTTCGTTAAGCCGTATATATTATTATGTAAGTTTTAACACGAATTCGCACATTTCGTTATGTTCAGGTAATTTTCATTAAATATTTCGATAATTTCAAGTTACAGTTTGGAACGAGATGAAGATAGCTGTTTCTTCGGTGGCGTTACGTACTGGACGTTTGCATTGTTGATGATGCACTCTAGCTAGGTTTCACCGGGAGAAACGATGTTTCAGCGTAAGTTTGTTTTCATATTATTTTGGGATTTACATAATATAACGTAATGTTGTAGTAGAAGTTGGAAACTGTAGTACCTATATTCTAATTTATAATCCAATTAATGTAATTCTTTGAATTTTTTTAATTTTAATGGAACATTTATTATGCCTACACAAAACACTTACCTACCAAAATTGAATTTTTCACAAAATTTGTTGTTTTAACGATAAATGACAATTTTAGTTCCCTATTATGGTGAAAGTATTTAATACAAACAAAAAATTAATGTTCGAAAATACAATTTCCTATATTATTATTTACTAAATACAAAGAAACTTAAAAATAAAACTATGATCATTATAATTACATACAGAGTACCTATAAATTATATTATGCATGGAACACGAAGGTTTATTTTGACTACCTACTTATCGTGTACGCATCAAACACAAAAAAGAAATAATAACAAAACAATTTAAAAATTAAATACACATCATAGTAAAATCAAGTTCAATCTAGTTGGTATCATGGTAGGTACTGTAAATTTAATGTACTTAGGTACTGTATATCTTTATGTTAACTCTAAAATCCAGGAATCACATTTTCATTTAATGATTTTTAAAATACAATATTATGCTTTTATAAAAATATGCTTGTACTTCTGATATATACTCACCATATTATTAAATAATTAAATTAAGAAACGAAAATTATAATTGAAATTCAAAATTATAAACTATTTTGATTTTTGTCATAATATAAAATTTCAACGAACAAATATTGTTCCTTATCACGGAACTCTTTGACAAAAAAAGTTGCGTTACCTATATGATATCCGTGATATCCGTGGATTCATCTTATTCACGTACCTAGTATAATATCTATCATTTATATTCCATGGCAAATCTCAAATCCATTGCAGAAGACACAGTCGTCATTAATAATTCCAAAATTTCAATAAGCAAAGCCGATATGAGCAAAAAACTTACTGCGTTCCGTATAATTTTATTTTCATCAATCACAATATTTTAAGTTCTGTATATTATGGAGTTTTTCCTCGTCAGCCTCGCAGTGAACATACGTAACGGATTCAGCCGAAAGAATCGATGTTTAAAGTAAATTTATTTTCATATTCTTTTGGGGCTTAAATTTACTTTTAAGAATTAAGATAAATATTTAATGTCACGAAAAATGTGTTATTGTATACGCATATTTTATAAATTGTTTTTCCAGTCCCCGGTCGTAGAATAATTGTAATTAATAGGTGAATATGAAAATTGTTTACTTGAAAAAGGCATATGTTTTGGTTTAATTTATAGAAATACATGTTTTAACTGATAATAGTCATAAAATACAATTTTAATTTATAACTGGTCATTTTTTTTCAAATCCAACGTTATAAGTTATGGGTAACTATTAACTTAGTGTAACATAGGTACTCAACTTCTATTGCTCTCCTAATATCTATATTATAGGACTCGTAGATTGTGATAAATTTTGTAGAAATTTGAACTTTAAATGCCTATAAAACAAAACGTGCTTATGTATTTCTAATATTTTTTAACTTCTATTACCTATATAAACATACGAGAAACTTTGTACCTATTATTTTTAAGCTTTTTGACCCGACGAATAAAATTTTAATGACATTTATAGAATACAGAACTAAAAACATTTCATAACTCAAATGTCTTTAATAAATCACTGAAAACGAGTCGAAATATTTTGAACATTTTATAATGAATAGAAAATGGTAGTTTAAACATTGGATGGACATTTTAAATATCGACGGTTAATAGTTGTTGAATAACAACAAAATAAGAAAATGGTTTTACGAGAATCATACACACATTATTGTAAAATCAAAACATTCATTGCTCCCTTAGTCCGCTCTAAAAAACAAACTAAGACATAATAGTTAAGTAGGTATAATACAAATTAAACATTATACATATAAAATGTAATAGGTATCCGTAACGCTTAGGTCATAATAATATTGTTGAACATTTTACTGCAGGCAGCGTATTTTTTCAGAAATGGTATTTAACTCGTCAGTGAAGATTTGTCAACTGGGAAAAATATATCATAAGCATACTGATATGTGTAACGTTGCAGTATTTCGAAGACTAAGTTTTATAGCAGATTTTGATTCGGACACGGGGTATGTATTTTCTTATTTTTCTGCAGTAGGTTACTTTTTATTATAGTTAATCGATCAGGGTTGTACTGCCCGAAACTTTTCAATTATTTGTATTGTAACTATACTGGTATAACACTATTCTGGCTATCAATAAAGTCGTGATAAAAATTAGGAAATTGGTCAGGTATGATATTTTATGGTATGTAGGTACTAATTCTTTTGAGTAGATAATTCGTTCAATTATTTAAATATTTTCACCGATAATCAAGTACGATGACTTGTAAGTAATTAGAGACTGAGTGAATAGGAATAAGGAAGTGTATGATGTAGCGAAGATAAGGAAAGAGGTCATTAGGATTTCAGAGTGTTTGGCGTATGAAAGGTAAATGCGAAAAAGAAATGTTAGGTTAGGGTAGGTAAGTGGAGCGAGAGTAGCAGATATGAGAATGTCATGTTGAGTGTGTAAGGGACAAAATAGGATAGAATAAGATATTGATTAATTAAATGTAGTATAGGAGTGACATATATATTTAAGTGAAAACAGGTGATACTAGGTTGAGGTGGTTCATTCACTGTATGATAAGAGATAGTGAGAGAAGCTAACAGATGTAGGTAAATGTAGGGGGAAAGTGAGAGGTGAGAAGACTGAAGAAGTGATGGGTAGAACAGATGATATTATGGAGGTGCAGGAAAAGGGGGTGGCTGAACCTGTATAGTTGTGTGAGAAGGGGGAAGAAAAAGTGTGAAGGTAGAATAGTTAGGTTGACAATACCGAATACGTAGGAAAGGATCTCGAATTGCAAAGGCCACTCGACTCTTTGGCTGAAACTACCGGCGGTAGGTTTACAACCTAGACTTATGGGATAGATTAAAAAGATCGGTTGGTTTCCGGTTGGGGTGTCAGTGCACTATTTGTTTCCATCTTTGACCCACGCGAGGTAACATCATAGGCGCTATTGGTGGATGAGGGGGGAGGGGTCTAGGGGCGGGCTTATAGCCTAATAAAAAAATTATGCGGATCTGTATTGATTTCATGAAGTAGCCAACGCGTACTACGTAGCGAAGTACGTTGGCTACTCCATGACATTTTAGTGTAAATAATTAAAATGTAAAATGTTTATAAATAATTAAACTAATTCAAAGACACACAAAAAAAATAATATTTAACATCTACTAAAAAAATTACAATATATATATATCTTAATAATTAATAAACAGTTGGGCAACTATTGCTTAAATGTCGGTTGGAGACTGTAGTCATCACCAGCTAATATTAAACGAAAAGTAAAGATGAGGGCGTCGCCCTCACACCACTATAAAAATATTAATTTGAAAATATAAAAACTATAAAATAAAAGAAATTTCTTATTTTCAAGTTTAATTCTTCACAATAATATACTGTCTATACCTAATTAAAAAACAAAAATTAAGAGTTAAGTTGAATTTTAAAAAAGTTTATTAATATATTACGAAACAATTGCATAATTTATTTTTTTTTGGGGGTCAGAGATGGAAATAAATAGTGCACTAAAAATATGACGTCCTCTTAAGTGTTATACACCGTGTCGTGTGAACCCTCCTTAAGAAGCTGTTAATTGTTGATATTTAACATTAACTGTGGTAGTGGCATGATTGGAAGTTAAAGTAATAAGTAGGGCTGTGAATTGAATGCACTAAACAATTTTTAAATATGCACTAAAATTATGAATGCTATGAAATTAAATGCTCTATAAAAAAGCCATTATTAAAAATCATTGAAATTAATAAATACAAATTATAAATGGCTTACAAAAAAAAATTCTTTATTCACATACTAGCTAAGTAACATTATTTTTCTAATTTGTAAAAAATTATGAATGTATATTATAGCCAATTTAGACCTGATTTACAGATAAATACAATTTTTTTTAAGAAAATAATCATAAATAAAAAACATCATTCAACTCTTTCAATTATAAAAATGCCTTAACCCAAAATATAGACATGGGATTTTGTATTTGTACAAAAAAAATAAATGTTTAATTTACATATTACTAGTTAGGTGGCCAAGAAAACATGTAATTACTTACCTAACCCATTAAATTATATGCTAAATAAGATTTCGTATTTAAACTATAAATAAACCAAAACAAATTTTGGCCGTATCCATTATTTTATAGTTTTTTATACTGTGTATCAAACAAATATGCAAATGCATTTAATTCAGTACAGTTATACCATATGTTATTGGTACAACATATAACATTAAATCAAAAAAAAAATTTTCTCGCTTCACTTGAATACGATAATGACCAAATTATCTAATTATCAGATTACAATTAATATACAAGTATCTTTCAACTACTAACTGAATGAAAAACAAAATCAAATTAAATCACGAAATTACTTTTTATTTTAAATATATTGCTTTTAAAACCAAAATAGTCAAAATATGCACTAAATAGGTTAAGTAGGTATTTCATCCCGAATTTTGTGAATTGTATTTTTTTATTCCCATGTCACAAAATTAACCATAAAAATTACAAAGTATGTAAATGCATGCAATTCCTTCCCCTACACATAACATTTCAGAGTATCTAATTATTATCAATTAGTAAAATACTAAAATATAAAACATTTAACTAAAACCAAACAATTACAAATTGATAAAAGTTTTCTTTATTAATAACAAATTAATTCATATAAATATAATAATAATACATAGGTATTTTAATAATTATTATTATAATCTATAATATTTTCCAAATGCTTTTTTTTTCCTCTTTCCTCTTAACTCTTTCCTCTTTTTCTAATGTAATATTTTTAAAATTCATGTTATTTGTAGCATTTGTCGCTTTGGTCAAATATTCACCCTTTAAGTCTTTTAATGAAGTCAAAACTCTTATACTTCTATTTATATGTTGATGAGCTTGAATTAAAGTTAAAGAACGCTTCTGGAGTATGTTTGACAAAACTGATAGTTCATTAAGACAATCACACATTAGACCAAGATCTAATAGGAATTCAGGACTAGCTAGCCTTTTTCTTAATCCACTGTACTTGGCTCTTGTTTTACTATCTCTATTTGGGTCTGATGATGCATTTAAAAAATGGTTACATAAACCTTCATACATTTTCCATACCACTTTAACTGCCCTCGAACTACTTGCCACCCAGCGGACATCCAATACACGTCCAACTTTTAAGAACATAGTATCCAAATCATTACAGATATTTTTTAGTTCATTTTGATTTTTTGGTGATGCATTATATAGAACATATAATGAATCCATAAATGATTTGAAATGATTTGTAGCGTTAACATCTTTAACTGCATCACTAACGGCCAGCTCTAATCTATGATTCATACAGTGTAAACTGAATATTAATGGATATCTATCTTTTAAACGCTTTGCTACACCATTTTTTTCTCCAATAATACACTTGCCCCATCACTTACAAATGATATCCAGTTCTGTAATAAATAATTCTCATTAAAACCAGACTCTTTTAAACAGTCAATAAGTTGATTCACAATGTTATCTGCTGATTGACTAACAAGTTCCACAAGGTCTAAAAAAAATAAAAACAGGATCATCGTAAGATATGGAAGCTTTAATGTAAACAACCATACCAAAAACTGCACTGATGGTAGTAGATTCATCGATCAAAACTGATAACTTGGCTTCAGTCTCTACAATATTGGAAACAATTTTTTGTTTAATTTTTAATGATATATGGTCAACAACATTAGTACATGAAAATCTTGAATGTAGAGTTGTACCAATTTTTATACCATTGAGTTTTTGTAGTTTTAAAAGATTAAAGTGATCATTAAATTTATTTTACAAAAGTAAACAAATAATAATAAAATCTTAATTTTTATTTGAATAAATCATAGGTAAAAACTTAAAATTTTTCATATTTTTTCTTAACTGATTTGTTTAAATTTATCGTAAGTTCCTAACAGCTATTGATAGCCACCACGGACTAAGATATAAAATATACATATATATATTTCCCTAAAAGTAGTTAAGATATTATTTTACCTGAGGCACTTCTGTAGAAGCATCTAAATGTAATGCAACATCAATAGATGCGTTGTTCTTTGTTTCTACCTTATGAGGGGGAGATTGTAAATCTGCTACATATGTCTCACCAAATTGTTCTGTGGGCACATTCTCGACATTTTTTGTAGTATTCTTCAACAAAACATGCAATCAATTATCAATGTGAATAATAAAAAAATAAAATTGTATTAAAATGTATCAATTTTTAGCAACAATAATTAGGAATGAAAATATGAAATGTTCAAATATTGAAATACTCAAATAGGTACCTACATAATTTAAGTATTTCCTACTGTAACTGTCATATAAATTATTTTAATGACAAATTAAAACATAAAAATACTATAAACCACTTCAAAATTATAATGAACATTTTTTCAGTTATTAATAATTATCTAGGTTATAGATATTTAACTATATCCAAGTACAAATATATACAATTAATATTAAAGGTATATTGTAACTCTCAAAAGTTGAAAATTATTAAGTTTTTAACATATAAAAATAACTATAAAATAACTATGTCATAACATTTTATATTTTTGGCTACCGACTAGTGCATTACAGTTAAATTAAAAATACTTACTTTTGTAATTGATTTTCTTATAACAAATTTGTCCATTTTGATTTAAAATAAAAAATTCACAAGATTCGTGAATAGTGCTCACGGTCAATAGGAGCTTTCGCACTCTGCTGAGTACAGCTGTCTGCTAGTATTTAGTAATAAACAGAATTGCATATAAATTATAATAATTATGAAAAACAATAATAATTAATAATTATACACTATCACAATTCACAGCCCACAGGTTTATCACTTTAACCAACGAAAAACTTAATACAATTAGTACATACAGTATAATAGTTACTAACTACCAGAAATCTTACATGAGAAATGAAAATTACAAATATACAGAACATTTTGTTTTTATCACCGAAAATTCTAATAGGTATACGGGGGTTAAAAAAATCTATATTGAAATTAATGTACAATAGTCATAAATTGTAATAATAATGTTCAAATGCATAATATATTATAACAAATGTTTAAATGTACACAGCAGACCACATATTTATTGGCTGTACAATATTCTGTACGTCACACAGTCTCTCTTTAAAATTATCCCGTCTACAAAATATAAATCATTTGTAAATCTAAAGACTTAATTGAGTACCTAATAGATAATTGTTCTAAAAGAGCGACGTGCCCTGTCGCCAGCTCAGTAAATCTAAAGACTTAATTGAGTACCTAATAGATAATTGTTCTAAAAGAACGACGTGCCCTGTCGCCAGCTCAGTAAATCTAAAGACTTAATTGAGTACCTAATAGATAATTGTTCTAAAAGAGCGACGTGCCCTGTCGCCAGCTCAGTAAATCTAAAGACTTAATTGAGTACCTAATAGATAATTGTTCTAAAAGAGCGACGTGCACTGTCGCCAGCTCACTAGGTGGAGAGACATTAGTACAAGATTTGTATTAATGTCAATACTTAGTATCGACCAAAAATATTATGTGAGAAATAAACAACTAATGTTTCAAGTAACGGATAATCATACTCTTTGGCTTAGTGTGAATATCTGGACATTATAATTGCGGAAAGGTGTGAAGTGTACGTATCGGCCGCTGTTGCTAGATCCCGGATGGGTGACCACCCGGCATTTTTAGCAACAAATAGTTGCCACACATACTAACGTGTTTTAACCAACCGTTACTACTCACTACAAACAACCTACAAGCAAAAAAAACAGCTAATGGTCAAAGTTGCTGGGCTCAAGCTCAAAAAAAAAAATCATTAAAAAAAAAACTTATTACGAAATGTACAATACTAATAAGTTATATTAGATAGACGTGCGCGGTCGTCTGATTAGGTTAGATCAAAAATTGTATTTATATCATTTCTTATTAAGTCATAACTTATATAATTACTAAAAGGTCATAAAGTAGCCAACGTACTTCGCTACGTAGTACGCGTTGGCTACTTCATGAAATCAATACAGATCCGCATAATTTTTTATTAGGCTATAAGCCCGCCCCTAGACCCCTCCCCCCTCATCCACCAATAGCGCCTATGATGTTACCTCGCGTGGGTCAAAGATGGAAACAAATAGTGCACTGACACCCCAACCGGAAACCAACCGATCTTTTTAATCTATCCCATAAGTCTAGGTTGTAAACCTACCGCCGGTAGTTTCAGCCAAAGAGTCGAGTGGCCTTTGCAATTCGAGATCCTTTCCTACGTATTCGGTATTGTCAACCTAACTATTCTACCTTCACACTTTTTCTTCCCCCTTCTCACACAACTATACAGGTTCAGCCACCCCCTTTTCCTGCACCTCCATAATATCATCTGTTCTACCTATCACTTCTTCAGTCTTCTCACCTCTCACTTTCCCCCTACATTTACCTACATCTGTTAGCTTCTCTCACTATCTCTTATCATACAGTGAATGAACCACCTCAACCTAGTATCACCTGTTTTCACTTAAATATATATGTCACTCCTATACTACATTTAATTAATCAATATCTTATTCTATCCTATTTTGTCCCTTACACACTCAACTTGACATTCTCATATCTGCTACTCTCGCTCCACTTACCTACCCTAACCTAACATTTCTTTTTCGCATTACCCTTTCATACGCCAAACATTCTGAAATACTGTTTGACCTCTTTCCTTATCTTCGCCACATCATACACTTCCTAATTCCTATTCACTCAGTCTCTAGTTACCTACAAGTCATCGTACTTGATTATCGCTGAAAATATTTAAATAATTGAACGAATTATCTACTCAAAAGAATAATTAGTACCTACATACCAAAAAATATCATAACTATCAAGGTATTCGATATTGTAAACATAACAATGAAAGAAAATATTTAAATAATGGTTATTTTAAGTTAGGTTAGGAGAGGAGAGGAAATTAGACGTTAACTAATTATCATAGTGTTTCACACGGTCTTAAAGACAGCCAGCTAGAGTTGTACCAGTATAATTAAAAACTTAAATACAGCCAACTTTAATTAATTACTTTTTTACCACAACGAACTAATAATAATATGTATTTTAAAATATAATAAATTACAATTTTATTATGTTTTTAAGATTTTAAATACTTATTAGTTTTTAAATATAAAATGTATAACTTAATATTATTTTAAATTAAACATTATTTTATGTCCTTCATAAATTACAATCACATGGTAGAGTCCGTAAAGGACATTTTTCTCATTTAATTATTTTGAATCCTTAATAAATTACATTCATTTTTATACATTTTCTAATACATATATCAGTGATACACCTCTGATCATAATAACTATTCGGTTATTATAATGTAAGCAATATCTAGTTTTTGGGTTGTAGTTAAAATGTACCTTCCAGCGTATTCTTTTGTTTAGTGTTAATTCACATGGGTTCCTCATAGTCTAATTTTTTCGATTCATTTTACTCTAGTAGATCTTTTTGTACAAACGTTTTTAAGCATTAACCGATTATACCATGGAAAACACTAAGTACCTGTATACTTACTTTATAAAAGAAGATTTTTAGTTTCTCTCACGAGCACCATTCAATACATTTGTTTTTTATTTATTTATTATCATTCTTTAATGAGCTAAACATCGTCAGTTGTTTTTTTCGGTTTAGGATTCTGGACATTTTAGTTTGAACTCTTTAATGTGTTTTCCTACTGTAAAATTTTGTCTAAATTTTTTTTTGGTTTTCTAAATGCATTTGCCTGCGGGCGCCAACACTCCCCTTCAATTTTTTTTTAGGAATTTGACTCTAGTTGAATTTTTTGAACAAACTTGATTATTGATTATCGTCATCGTCAGTTTTTTTTCTGTTTGGATTCTGGACATTTTAGTTTGAACTCTTTAATGTGTTTTCCTACTGTAAAATTTTGTCTAAATTTTTTTTTGGTTTTCTCAAATGCATTTTCCTGCGGGCGCCAACACTCCCCTTCAATTTTTTTTTTAGGAATTTGACTCTAGTTGAATTTTTTGAACAAACTTGATTATTGATTATCGTCATCGTCAGTTGTTCTTCTGTTTATGAATCTGAAGATTGTAGTTTGAACTCATTGATATGTGTTCTGATTGTAAAATTTTTTCTAAATTTTTTTTGGGATTTCTAAAATGCATTTACCTGCGGGCGCCAACACTCCCCTTCAATTTTTTTTTTTTAGGAATTTGACTAGTTGAATTTTTTGCAGAGACTTGTTTATTGATTACCTTCAGGTGCCCTTTGTATTATCATTCTTTAATGAGCTTATCTTCGTCAGTTGTTTTTCTGTTTATGAATCTGAAGATTGTAGTTTGAACTCATTGATATGTGTTCTGATTGTATAATTTTTTCTAAATTTTTTTTGGGGTTTCTAAAATGCATTTGCCTGCGGGCGCCAACACTCCCCTTCAATTTTTTTTTAGGAATTTGACTCTTGTAGAATTTTTTGTACAGACATGTTTATTGATTACCTTCAGGTGCCCTTTGTATTATCATTCTTTAATGAGCTTATCTTCGTCAGTTTTTTTTCTGTTTATGAATCTGAAGATTGTAGTTTGAACTCATTGATATGTGTTCTGATTGTATAATTTTTTTTGGGTTTTCTAAAATGCTTTTGCCTGCGGGCGCCAACACTCCCCTTCAATTTTTTTTTTAGGAATTTGACTCTACTTGAAATTTTGTATAGACTTGAATATTGTTAACAAGCAGGTGCCCTCTGTATCATCATTCTTTAATTAGCTAATCATTGGCAATATTGTTTTTTCACAGTCTACGAGTTACAACACTCATGTAATGTACTAATGTGTCAATGATTTATTCAATATTTCAAACATCATAATATGGTGAATCTACTGTCTTTATGTGTAGCCGTGTAGGTACATTATACGCTGTTCTAACTTCCAATAAATAGCTGAATAAAAAAGACTGAATGTATATCGCGGAATCACACTATCACAGTATAATATGGTTATGAACATATAGGTCATACAATATTACTCTTACATATTTTTAAATCGAAGAATTAAATATCATATTATTTTTAAAAAAAAATGATTACACACATTTATTAATATAAAATAATAGGTACAATTTACATTTACGATAGCAAGAGAAGTTTCTTTTCAAATAGGTATCACAACAATTAAAACTTAACAAATATACATATACATATAAGTATGCAATTATAAACTAGACTTTTAAATTCGTAAGCAACACGTCTATTAAGCGTTTGTGTATAACAAAAAGCATGTTATTGTAGGTATATAACATATTTTACTATTTTAAAATAAAAATATTAACCATAAAATAATTTTTGTTTTTTTTTGTTTTTTTTTTTATTGGGTACTTCCACAAAACGCAGTAGATGTATATAATTTAAAATCAAAATATGATACTTCTATAATCATTTAAAAATCAATTACATAATCACAAGGTACCTGCCTTATAAGTTATAGGATATTTTGTTTTGAAATTAAAAATTATAGCACGTAACACAGTAAATTGTGTATATGTATTAGGTAATTGACTAAGTATAGTCTTTCATTTTAAATAGGTAATAGTAACTTGGCTATAAACCATTAAAATGCAATCCAACTTTGCTTATTGAAATAAACCCTGCCTTCATTTCTAAGCATAATATCCTTGGTATATCCGAACGACTATTTTAATTTATATTATATTGTTATAAATTATAATATTACTAATAAATACCCAAATATAAATCTTACAGTATATCGGCTAATGTATACCTATTAATATTTCGCATTTTTAGGAAGACTGTTACAAACACAGTCGACAATTACTGCTACTATAAAACGTTGTTAAAGTTCAACATTATTTTGTCTGTCGCTATCTATCACATACGATTTAATGTTGCAAGGTAATTGTACACCGTCCAATTGATTGGCCAATGCCCAGTACCTTTTCCTCAGATGATATGCTGACGATTTAGGCTCTCGCTGTCGCGTAAAAACGCCTTTCTTGTTCCCTCCTACCCTTGTAACAGCTGAAAAAAATAAATTGTAATTACTAGTGTGTAGGTATTTTATGAAAATGTATAAAACTATAGTTTTTGAACTACACAATAAAATTATACATCATTATATTTGGTTCCGTCAATATTTTAATATCTATAAAACAAATATAGTTCAACATTCAGTGTCAATACCGTAAAAATACAATTTACTAATCAGTATTTCAAACGATTAAATATGTACCCGCATTTATCTACACACATTGAACAAAAATTACAATTACAATTAATTCATTTTAAAATTAATGTATCCAATTAAAAACAGTAATTTTCTTATCTACATTGCATCTATACAAAGTGATTCTTTTATCATGAAATACTCATTATTTCAAAAAGTATTGAGTTTTTGAACATAATTTTTTTATATAGTTTCAAGTTGTTAAAAAAACAACGGTTTTATTAAAAAATCATATTTTTAAATATTTTTTTAAGTTTTTTTACTTTTTTGAATGACAACATAGAGTTTTAATTTCATATTCCAAAGCAGAATATTTTTCTAAGTATTTTGATACATAAAAATCGAATTTAGGACTAGTAGTTTATGAGTTATAAGTATTTATAGTTTAGACAAGCGGAGTAGTGGACAAATTTTTTTCGGGTAACTCAACACCACTCCACTCCACTCCACCCATCTAAACTTTAAATACTTATAAGGTATAACTTGTAACTCATAAGCTACTCGCCCTAAATTCAATTTTTATGAATCAAAATACTTAGAAAAATATTCTGCTTTGGAATATGAAATTAAAACTCTATATGTTGTCATTCAAAAAAGTAAAAACTTAAAAAATTATAAGGATAAAAAATATTTTCAAAAACATTAATACTTTTTGAAATAATGAGTGTTTTGTGATAAAAGTTTCAATCTGCAGTACATTTATTAATCTTAATAATTGTTTTTAGATTCAAATATCAAAATACTTATACTTGGATTATTACTGATCTGGTAACTTATTATATTATTATGCTTAAATCTTTGACCAGTAAAAACGAAAAACAGAACACTACCTACTGTAACCTCCAAACGATTGATAAACAGGCAAACAGTTAATAAATCAAAAATGTTTCGCAGTAATTTACAGACTGTACCTAGGGTTGACATGAAAGCAATGAACTTACTTTGTTCGGTTTTAAAGTCCGCGAAATTCCATATCATTTCGCCGATGAAGAAGTTTTTAGTTCGGAGTGTATCGAACGCTTTGAAGTGTTCGGACATCAGTTCTACCTGATATTCTTCAGACCAAACGAACGAAGGATTCTAAAAACAAATCAAAACATCAAGGTAAATAACAATAACGTACAGTTGTAAGAAAAAGCTATTTTCCCGGATGAATATGATTGTATATAACATTATGTTTCTCAAAAGTCACGGCTTTCGACTTACCATATGCAAACCGGCATACGAGTCAGCACCGTATTCCGTCATGAAAACCGGCTTGTTGTGTTTGGCGTGCCATTTGGCTGCTTCATCTTCTATCCGGCTCTGGATGATCTCCGTGTGACCGGGTAATGTGTACCAAGCATTGTACCTATTGAAACCGATGATGTCTAAGTGCTGAGCCTGTAAATAACTGCTATTAAACTCTAGAAATCATAGCGACAACACTCATGTCGAAATGAAGGAGTTATATTATTTTTATGTTTTAAGCGTAAAAGAATAGATTGCAAGAAGAATTTTGGCCATAGTGTTTCCACTCACCAGTAGGTCAGTATCAAGGTCTGTCGCAATAGCAGCTGTTATGGGCCGCAAAACGTCTAAGGTTTTGACAAAAATAGCTACAGATCTACAAACAAAGGTACAATATATACTCAAGAAATTATATAAAACAGTCGACAAGAAGTAGGTTTACAGCCATAAAACTGATATACCTTATAGCCAAAGTGGTGTTCTAACTTTCATTAATAAATGTCTTATGACAATAAATAATAAAGCAGAATACGAAATGTTTAATTTTTAAAAATGATAAGAATATATGTAAGCGTATTGAGCGTATTTGCATTATTTTTAGAGAGTAATTCACCAAATGGTAGATGACTATCTAAAACACCATTGCTTATAAGGTACATTGTGCGCAGTGTTAGAAATGTATTGTGTGTAATGTGTTGTGAAACTACTATTATTTTTCTAGATAGAGTGTATTTTAAGGTATTTTAAAAGATATATAGTAGGTAGGTATACACCATTAAAATATAGTGCTATCGCGAATATATTATAATAGGAAAATTAAAAAGAAGCTAAGACAAAATTAAAGCACTAGTGCAAAGTTTAATAATATTTGACCAAAATTACACCACAAACTTATAATTGGGTTCATACTTCATAGCATATAATGATAGTTAATAATTATAATTACTTACCGCCCTGTCAATGCTGTACCATTTGTTCAGAGCGGCAGTAACTGGGCGTGTCTTATCCTTAGATTTGACAAATTCCACAACGTACCTATATAGATAACAAAATAAAGATAAATGCATTTTCCTTGGAAAGTAAACAAGTGATTTTCGATTAAAAATGTCTATTCATCCGCCAGCCCGAATTATTGGGGGAGGGCCGAGGGGGGCACAGTCCCGGGGCTCATTGATTTTGGCGGTCCATCTTTATCCACAAAATATATTCTTTTAACGCGTCCAATACAGTTTTCAAAAAAAAATTATTATTTAAGTAGGTAGGTTAGTAGGTATATTATTAATAATAATTATAAAATTAAATTGTTCTCCATTTCATACCACGAAAAATTACTATAAAAAATGAACTATGTTTGTCAACAATTTTGTTTATGTTTTTTTTTTAGTATTTTAGCATTTTAGATTACCGATTTAATTATTTAAGTATACAATAAGGTATTTACCTATAACGTTTAGGAAAAAAATATTTAGCTCTTGTAAATTAAGTATTTCAGTTAAAAGTATTAATGCATATTACTATAACTTTAGAGGACCGAAATTTATCATTTGACTGTCAAAATGTTCAGGAAAATAGTTTTACCAGAATCCATCAAAATATATAGTGGTTACCATATTTGAAAAATAAAGTCAATTTTATTATTGGTACCTACAACTGTGTGTTTAAAAACTGACTGTTAAAAATAAAGAAACCCGTCTTTTTTTGTTCCATATCAATTCCATATCATCGATTCATAATTGTTAAAAAAAAAAACCCGTGTACAATGATATATGATACACCCTGTATATTTTTTGTATAGAAAAAAAATTATACAATAATATAAAGTCGTTAATATGTAATGATACAATTATTTTTAAGTTTAAGTTGAAAGGGGGCCCACTAAGTGTATGATGTCCAGGGGCCCAATTGATTCTTAATCCGGGCTTGTTCATCCGTCAATTATTGTAATTGTATAAGCGCGAACAATGTGAGATTATACAAATCTATTATAATTTATAATATATCAAAAATAAAATTGTACCTATAATGGAAATGTATTTTAAATTGAGTTCAATAAAAAACTACGAATTATAATATAATAATACCTTTGGGGGACGGAGTGACCGAGTTGACCTTGGGTCGGTTCCAACGCATATAGATACTGTCACCGGTCCGAATCTCGAGCAAGGGCGGCTCCTCTCTCTGGGCAGGCAGCTTTTTAGAGAGAGGGCCTACCCGCCGTCATCCCCCGATCGGGCATGGCAAAAACCTACGGGTGCCCAATTTTTAATTCTGCCAAGACCAAACACACGTGTGTTTGCCAAAAACCTACAGTACCCTCCCCCACAATTGAAAAAAAAAATCACCCAATGGCCTAAGGGTACTGTTACAACCATAACCCACATAATAGCTTATGACCATAGTTGCCGGGCTCTAGACCAATAAAAAAAAAAAAAAAAATAATGCCTTCATTATATTATATAATATGATATGACAATTTATTCGAGTATTTTGCGTAATTATTTTAACAGTAATGTTAACACTTATTATCTAGATAAGTATTTACGTTTTTGAACATAATTTTAAGTCATTATACAAAACAAAATGTTTTGCAGTCTTTATATTTTTTTTTTACTTTTTTGAATGACATGTATCCATTTTTAATTATATATACCAAAGCAGAATATTTTCCTGAAAATTACGATGCACAAAAATCAAATTTCGATTTAGTAGTTAATTAGAAATAACTTTTAACTCATATAAGTATTTAAAGTTTCAGTTGGTGGAGTAGAAGACCATCAATTTCACTCATCTAAGCTTCCAAATACTTATAAGCTATAACTTACTCTAATCAACTACTCAGTCGAATCCGATTTGTATCCATCAAAATATTCTGCTTTGGATAATCAACTTGAAAATATAATATGTCGTCATTCAAAAATTAAAAAATCTGTCTAAAATTTTAACGATAAAAAATATAATTTTAGATTCTGTGCCGAGCAATGAATGAATTGGTTTTAAAATGATGTGTGTTTTTTATTTTTTTATTTATGTCTGTGTACACGATAGTCAAAATAATGCTTCGATTTTCAATTTCAGTATCTTGTTCGATGGGAAAGTGAATCTAGCTGTTGGTGCATTGGGGTGGTCAAAATTCTTAGTAATTTTCAAAAGCGCAGAGAAAAACAAAAAAAAAAATAAGGAAAACCGTGAATTTTTATGCAAAATTGGTTTGAAGTTCATATTTTTACAAGATTGGATATTCACTCGATTTCTTATGAATCGATTTTCTTATTAAAAGTTTATACCTTATAATATATTCCCAATATAATTGATTATAACTTATAAGATAGGATATTTCTTGTGCCACGGTACAAAATAATTTTTTTTAATTTCTTAATGTATATAATGTATAATGCAAATATTATAATTGTATTTGTATCGATGCATTGATAACGCATGGTTGTGTGCATGTGTTTATTAAATGTGTTTGGACTCATAGCATATAGAATAATTATTACTTATGTTGTACTTGTATTTTACGGATTTATATCAATGCAATGCAATGACCAATAATGTGATAAGTTTAAAGTGGACAGAATACAATATAAAATCACTGTGTCATATGTTGTGAAAAGTGTATCGTTATTATTCTGTTTAGTAAAAGGACAACACTCACTTGAAATAGGAATCGGCTTCTTTGTGATTCGATCGTGGCTCGTTTGCAATGGACCACATGATCACACTAGGTCTATTTTTGTCCCTCTTGATGAGTTCCGCTAAGCTCGTAGTATGTTTCTTCAATAGTTTATCAGAATAATTACTGAAAATTAATACATGATAATTATACTACAAATACCAAATTATTGATACATTTAATTTAGGATAAATTATTGTTATTGAACTTTTAAAAAGCCACAATATATTATTATTATTATTGTCAATTGTTCTAATTTAAATGAACTGCTATTCAAAGTTGAAAATATGGAAGATTACTAATTAGCCAATTTAATAGTTATTATTATAATATTATATAGTTTTATTGTGTGGGTAAAGAATTGCAGAACCGGATTAGACATTATTGTATGCACACTATTATCTCGTTATACACCCAAATCTGTTTTCAAAAAAAAATTTAATTATTTGACTCTTCAACTCTTGGTTGTACATTTTTGTAGATAGTTGATATATGTCTGTGTATTAATTTCTTATAAAAAAATTATATCCGACATAATATCATTATAGTGTTTGTACTTTGTACACGCGGATAAATACCGGACATTTTCATAGCAATATATACTGAAATAATTTAATTTTAGATAGGCTATAATATAGGCGCCGTAGCCTGTAATAATTTACTCACTCGGTGTCAACACTAGGACATTCGTCTACGATCATTATGCCGTGTCTGTCTGCAAAGTCCATGATTTCTTCGGCGTATGGGTAGTGGGACGTCCTGTAAGAATTTGCTCCGATCCACTTGATGAGGTCGTAGTCTCTGGTCACCAGCGCGTAATCCATTCCTTTCCCTCGTATCTATAAAATTCAACATGACTGTCCGCATTAGTTTCGCCGGTCCGTGCCTACACGAAAACGTGACGAGTGACAACTATAAATATAAAAAATATATTACATCTGAATCTTCGTGTCGCCCAAACCCTCTCAAGTACGCCGGTTTGTTGTTTATGAGGAACGCCGTATTCGTCCACTTGATCGTCCTGATCCCGACCGGTAATCGGTATACGTCGTCCAAATTCCAAGTGTTCGAAAGCCGGATCTATAATATTCGGTTCGAACAATATAATATATGTCATTCGTCTGCGTCGAGAGTTCACTACAACTGTGATATAATATTATATTATACACCCACCATGCGGCGTGTATGAACAACTGCAATAATTAATATTATTAATATAATACACAGCCGATCGGTTAAATTGTCACACTTTATTATCGTCACGTGATTTTCGTGTGAAATTCAAAATTGTATTATTGTCGCATTATATATTAGGTATTGCTCTTTTTCGCGGATGCATTATAATATAATTTATAATATTATATACTCATTTTACTGTATATAAGTGTAAATACCTCCAACGTGTACATGTATCCCGGTTCTTCGTGCATCAAATACGGCCACCAAAGTTTCGCGTTTTCGATTTTTATGATTCCCGACAGACCTTCTTCGTCGTCGGCGATCACGGTGAATTTTTCTCGCACGTTTTCATTGTTCAGCACTGTTATGGAACAATTTAACGTCTCGCCACTGCTCAGCGATCCTCCATATTGTATTTTGTACTTAATAAGACCTAAAAATACGATGTAGTCATCATCAAAATTATCATAATAGCACAATTTCTAAAATATTTTTTCAGTAAAATATATCACATACTACAAAGCACATATTATCAAAATAAAATATATATTTTAACGTAAGACTGGCATGCTTTTTTTGCTACACTTAGTGCTACACTTACCTGAAGTTATAACAATTTTATATACAATCCCTGATTAATCCTTATGAATCGAATTTCGTTATAAATTATAACTGATTTATTTGTGTACAAGTTGTGTTAAAAATGATTATATTTATTACCTATTAGGTACAGTTCACAGGTTTTATACCACGATTATTATAATCTATTACTTATAGTTTAATTTCACCACCTAAATACCATCGACCCACTCACCCACCAGTAACTTTTAAAATTAATTGTTGCCATTCTTCGTAATTTTGACTTAACTTTGGTATGCTATTAAGATATACGAGTAAGTACCTATACGTCGAATAAGTTTATTATATTTTATTATGACTCGACGAGCTTATAATTAAATGAGAAAAACGATTTACTCTTGTGTCATATATTTTATAAATACAAAAAAACGATTTTACCTACGCCATCCTCGGTGTAATTGGTCGTCACGTCAACATCGTCGATGTACACAATAGGTGTTGTGTACAAAAACACGGACCTATGTATACCGGCATAGTTGAAGAAGTCAAACGTATACGTTTGTATGGTCTTAGGTCCAGTATTTCTGTATAATATAAAGTCACGATTATTATTGTTGTGATATTACGCATTTCAAAATATTATAATAGATTATAAGATTATATTATGTGACAGTGTTTATATTTTGCAATGAGCACGTCTTGTCGTCGTGTACACAACATCGTAATATAATATGAAATTCTTGTTTGTTTTCTAAAAAAAAAACACGGGTATACCTAAGCACAGAGAAAAATTACAATACCAAACAAGTCGTTGATGTCGTTGCATTATTTTACATTTTATTTTATTTTTCAAATAAACCCCCAGCACAGTCATAGTCATAGGGTGATACTGATGAGATTAAATTACATATAAGCATAATATAGATAACATATAGAAGTATAACGGTGCGCAGAAGATAATAAAAAATACTATACTTAAAGAATAGATGATACGTTAGGACTTGGGGGAGAGTTAGAATGAATATAATATCATATTATTATGTTCCTTATTGTCTTGTGGGACAGGTATAAAATAAATAGGTATTCACGTTGTTCTTGCATAAAAATATGTTCGAATCACAACTTTTCGGGGATTAGAACAAGGTCCACGGCACGTAGGTTTTGAAACACAATATTATTATTATTATTATACATTTATACCTAAACAGTATAATAATAATATTATGTATTTATTGCTGAAATATCATGTTTTCAGCTATGGTGTAAAACATGTTTGTAAGCAACATAAGGTATTACGTGATCGTTTATATCCACGATATTTTGCAAACATCTATATATACGTGGTGTATAATACTCACGTGCTAATGTTTTGTAAAGATCCTTGTGGCACAGTCGTTGCTAATAAAACGTTATCCACGGCTACGGTTATTCTATTCAGCCGTCCAAACTTTAGATTAGCTGTTATGTCTCTTTGAAAAGGCAAATGTCCAATTTCGTGATTGAGTACTAAATGTGTATTCACCCACTTTAAATAAAAAAAAAATTTTATGCCTCAGTCAATGAGTAAAAGTAATTTATATAATATGGGTAAGTATTATATAAACATTTACCTATCTGCATGGTATAATTCAATTATTACAATAACAGTTGGACACAAGCCAGTTTTTATTAATAAAATACCTAATATAATATTAGAATATTACAACAGTTAACACCTACCTTACTTATATAATAATTAATTTTATGATTGATGATTCAAGCGTACCTACTACCTATATTAATTAAATTAAGAATATAATAAAGTACCAAATAAAAAATATAAAGTTTAAAATGTTAATATTATATTATAGGTTTTAAAAGCGAACTCGCTAAGTGTAAAATAAAAACGAATTGCTTAAAAATTAAAATCAATCCGAATAGGGAATGGATCTGACTATCTGAGTATAATATTATGTATAGACACATACATAGGCGCAAATTGGAGGGAGGGGGCTTGGGGGTGCTAAGCATCCCAAACTTCGCCATAGCCCCCCCCCCAAAAAAAAAAACCTAGGACATATAATTTTAATATGCTATATTGCAATGGTCTGCTTGCATTTAATATATTCAGCCCCCCCCCCCCAAGTCAAAAGATGAAATTGCGCCTATGGACATATAGTGGAATACTTACATGCATTATTAATTTAGTTGTATAGTAATAGGTACTTCACTTACTACTTGAGCTGCGTAATTAACACTGCCAAATCTTAAGAAAACTCTATAACCCTGCTGCCTCCATGATTCAGGCACGAAAAACGATTTATCGTACCAAACCAAACCCACGTGGTCTCTGATTTTCTTGTCCACCATCACGTCGTTGTAACTACTGGGCACCGGCATTTGGATCACTGGACCAGTCTAAATGAAAATACCATAATAAAACATAATTAATAAATCATATAATATAAGCCATATATTTTACAAGACCGCAAACACCTAATTTCTAAATTGTTATATCTATGCCTCAGAGTGTTATAAAATACTAAATATGCGTATATACTATATTTCACAAATCCTCCAAGACATTTCAAACAAAATGTATTATACAAATAATACCTGTATGTGCAGTAATAATATTATACAAATATTAACCGCACCTGTTTGACATTTTATAACGGTTGGTTCATGTTTGGATCATCTGGAAATAGCAAGCAGTGGCGTAACAGCAGTGTAATATAAACACAAAATTCAAATTACGCTAAAAGGCGTTATGTATATGCAATAATTATGCTACTTGTAGATAGGTACGTGTCGAAATACTATTATTTACACAGTAAAAATTTAGTATAATCGCTATTCTCCATTCTTTCGTCACACGATTTGTTAAAACATATTATTGAGAAGTCAGAATTGTGTATCGTGTCACGCATTGTTGAAAAGGGTTTGTTTCTTTAATCATATGACTGACATTTCAATCTTTAAATCGTTAACCAATAATACAACAGTATAAAGCTAAGTATGATGGATCATGAAAACATACTACATGTATTTATTTCAACAAAATAATGAAGTAGGTTGTAAGACGTAAGTGTTATATACACCTAGGTATAAACTATCAAGTAGGTATAGGCAAGCACTATTACTATAAATACCTGTCAGAATCATTATAATAATTAGTGTAATACATTGTGTGCATTTATGTTTTTAATATTTGTTTAATCATATGATAAAATAGTATAAAAAAACCGTTATATAACAATGTATAAAATATGTGAAATGTGTACCTACTGGTTATTTAGGTTCAACAAATTATAAGAAAACAATCAATTGTTAAACTAATATTTATGTTTATCTAACGATTGAGATAAGTACCTATATATTTGAATTTGTATACATAATTTGTAATACATAGTATATTGGTTGTTGTACACTCGTGCCCATCTTGTACCTACCTAATTAATAAATTACATATCAATTTACCAATACGATTTATAAACAGCACATCAAACTATAATGTAGGTACCTACATCAGTACGGTATACTCGTATAGGTACATTTTGTATTTTGTATTTATTTCGCAATATCTTATCCATTTAGTTATTTTCGTTAAGAAGAGGATATCTATATCTCGAAATCTCGAATAATACATTTGTTACACAATGTGAATAACTTTTCGTGCAATGGATACATGTTTTATGCGATATAGAATATGGATGTCCTGCGCATATTGCGTGTAATTATTTAGTGTAACCCTATTTATTACTATTTCATAGTAGATATGATAGCCAATAGGTATATGTATTAGATCAACTTAATCCTGTTTGTTTATTTTAAATAAATTATAATATAGGTATTATAGGCACCTACGCGTTGTTTTTAATAATTCAAATTCGTTTTCTAGTTTTAGCATTTTTAGCTGCACAGCATTGCCGTATTATTACACTATAGACATTAATACACTATTCACGATTTACCTGGGGAAAACGGCGACTATAGTGTGCCACTTGCGTTCGTCTGACTTATAGATAGGTATACAATACAAGAGTCAAGAGACGTCTAAAGTGCACGTGGTCTCGTGCAAAGCAATATATAGTTCGTACCTATAGTACATCAGTATTCAGTTTATTATAATATTATGTATATAAACTTATATTTCCAACGTTATTCAGTGCGACAGGCACATAAGGCGCAGTGTGTTATACGGCAATTAGGTATGCAGGCATAGCATATTACAGTGTTATGTATACTGCTGAATGCCCAAACAATAATGGCATTTACTAATTCCATTATATGGCATTGGATTGTTTTTGCTTCGAGTAAATACATCATAATTTATGTATTATTATCGTTACTATAATGATTTTACGCATTTAGTGGATATTTATTTAAAAATTTACCGTCAATACTAATTAGCCGCTATTAAATAAATGTATGGACAAAGATATATATTTTGAATAAGTAATTTTGAATTTTAATTCTTCTAGAACCCATTCTCGATAAAAAAAAAAATAAGTAAACACTAAAATTAGGCATTTTAGGCAGTAGGGGCTGCAGATAATATAATAATTAATATTTAATGTAACCTATTTAACCAATATAAATAATATGTATAATACAATTTTGTAGACACGAGACTACGAAAACTCGTGAATTATGTCGAACATACATAGTGCAGTCAATTTGATCGTCACTAAATCAGGAAAAAAATCTTTGTACTTTTGAAAAAAGCCCATATCCAAACGTTCTCAGTAACATTAAAATATATACAAATTAATAAGTACCTGGAAAAAAATATAAAAACTGGGTATTGTCGTAATGTCGTAGCAGAATATTAAAATATTACCCAGAAACTAGGTAATCAAACAATGTACACAATTAGGAAATGTGTATGATTTTGTGCATATAGCATGTTTAAAGAAATCAAAAATGTTATACTATAATAACTACTATAATTTATGATTCATGCAGCGTAGTCATATCAACTTTTGTTATAGACTTTTACAGTTATAATTTCTTTTTATAATCTCATAGTTACAAAAATGTTCAATAGCTAGTTAATTCATTAGATTTATTTCCAACAAAAAACATAACAAAGTTATCTAGTGTTAAATTATAATATTACGCGAAATTATTTCGGTCTCAGTTTTTTAGCTTAATATTTTATGAAAATTAAATTATAATTGTCACAAGTATAACAACTGAAATAATAGTATAATACCTTTATAGGTAGATACCCACATTACCTATATTACGTGTATTACAATATACTAATATTAAAATACACATTAAACTAAAAATAAATACATACCTTGCTTAAGTCTTTCATGTACCAGCGTTCCTTGAAACCGACGAGGGGGTCGGGAAGAGATAGCCTGAAATTCCACATGCCATCCAGCGATTTGACTTCCCGAGATTCGGACTCTCGTGGGTACAAAATACCTGCTGTGCTCGCACATGTCACCAAAGCTGAGACGCAAACCATCAGACTAGCGCACCACATAATGGCTGACATATAATAGTAGCGTGGTTCTATACAAATAAGACAACACCATTGTTATTTTAATTGGGTGACATCAAAAAATATGTAATTTCGAGTCTAATCGTCCCTGTAGATTTTTGTTTCAAACATGACTATACCTCTATAATATGATATTGATACAATGATGAATGATGAAAACGTATATACGCTTAATAGATATATATTATACAAATAAAATTATGACCAAAATTGACAAACTGGTTTTCGTTAATATCAAATAGTTCTTTTGCGTTTTTATAATAATCATACCGCCGTAATTTATATCACATCGAAACTGGTTTAAAGAGCGTAACAAATATAAATATATATATTTATTTATGTAGGTACTATATGTATCTACTAACCGGAGAAAGAAATGATAAAGAAAAAAAATTGTTAAGTCTTCTCGGAGGAAACGCGTACGGGAAACACGACCATAATAATTATATAGTATCAAAACGTATTGTGGGACAATTAAAAAATTATGTCGATATATGCTCATCTCATACCTAATATGATTTTCCCCTTCCCGTCCACGTCGGCTATCAACTAAGAGATTTCGACCTGATGCCGGATGACTTACAAAGAAATCCAGTGTCCTATGCTTTGTATATGTGGTTTATGATAAATATTGTTTGTACTCTATGAATTTCACACGGTTATCGCCGCAGCACGAACTTTCTAAAACTATACACAATAGTCCATTTTTCTGTTTATAATTTTCTTTTTTCGTTTAAAGTGGTATTATGTGCTTTGAACGCTGAGGTGTACGTTTTCCACTGGATTTGTGATATTTCATTTATTTCGAAGATAAACTTGTTAGCCGTATTAGACAGCTCTAAGGCGTATCTTATAAAGTACATATAGCTGGTAAGTATCTGCTTAAGACTTCACTGAAATTGCTGTTATACTACCTATATACTTAAACTATGTAATAATATTACATATTATACTACTTAGCCACTTAGGTACTCAACTTTTATTTAAATTAAACGAATAGGAGTAAACAAAATTAATTGCTAGTACACCCAGCAAGTGTGAGATAAAAAATAACATTAATAACATACCAATCATTTGAACATTTAATAAGTATATAATTTAATCATATATTATATGTACTTCATATACATATATCGTATATTTAATCCAATTAAATTCCACTTTCACTTTTACTATTGTAAAATCATTGACTATATTATTATATTATTGTATATAATAGGATGCATACTGTATAGTGCTTATTGTAATGGAATATTCTTGAAATAATGGATTAAGCAGATTAAACTTAGAATAATAAATCGAGTACCTATAGGTTTCATCGTTATTAAAATAATTTTCTTCTACATATACCTATTACCTATGTAATTAGTAGGTATTATAAGACACGGGTATATATTGTATAATAGTGAATAAGTTTATTATATAGTAAGTACCTACTATACATATACAACCAATGATTATAATTGGATAATTGCAGATATAGGTAAGTACTATGTGTTTTTATGGAATACCAGTCAGGTGATTTAATTACGGCTATTCCATGACATATTATACTGGAAAAGTAACACATGTTTAAATTACAAAAAAAAATTTCTCACATTTGTAATCGTGATAGGTAAAAATAAAGTAAATTAATTTGGTTCAATGTCCTACTAATATGTATAGTTAATAAATGTACTACTTATATCATTGTAATAACAATATTAAATCGTTGTTTGTATAAGACTTTAAACAATAATATAATATACCATAACGGCATAACATATAAGGTATAAATTAATGGTTTAGGCGCGCAATATACTATACAAATTTTATATATAAATTAACCATAATATTATGACCTAAAGAGTAATGCTTTGATAAGTTTTTATGTGTTCATTATCATGTACCTACGTCCTACACATTTGAATATAAATATATAAGCTTATCGGTATCTATTACCGCGGAAGTGTTTAATTCTAAAAATTTAACGATGTATCTTTTTTTAACAGGGTTTTATTATAATAAATGTAGGTCGTTGAATAACACATTAACACTTTAAGTAAACAATTTAACAATCGTATTTATTTTATTTATTTATATTACTTCGTTTAACCAAACATAACTTTTTAGTAAATCGTTGACTGCTTCATTGCCTAAACGTAAATAAAATATTATTTTATTCTACATAATAAGAGTAGATATGATTTTACTTTTGACTTTATATATTATGTAGGTACTACAATAAAAGCATAATTTACAAACTAAATATTAATTTTTTAATCGAAGAGAATATTTTAATGTCGTAAATTATATAATAATTGCACATATCATTTAATTTTTCTTCAGTTGTATCTTGTAATATAAAATCAATTTTATGAATTTAAATTCTTCATTTCAGATAATTATTCTAAAGTGTGTATTTAATTTGTACCTATATGGTTATGCATTATACAGGGTGTAACAGAATGACCTGACAAATTAAAAATGAATAATAATTAATGTTAGTTCATCTTGTGAACAAAATTTTAAAAATTATATGGACAATACATTATTTACTTTATCTGAAAATCACCAAAAAGAATATGTTGAAAAAAAATAAAAACATTTGTTTCAAATTAATTTTAAAAGAAAAATATTGATACTAAAAAATTGCAAAAAATAAACTACTTTATTTAAATTAACGTTTTTACCATTATATTTTTTTTTAAATTAGATTTACAAATTGAATAATATTAATTTTTCAAAAAAAAAGAATTACCTAAATTAATTTTTTTTTTCATTATTAAAAAATAAAAACAAAAAATTGTATACTGTTCTTGTCACGAAAGAATCTATAAATTATATACATTATCAACGGGTCCTCTCTCGCATTACAACAAATAACACGTCGATTAAAAAATAACTGGTCTAGAGACCAGTTATTTTCCTAAAATAGGAAAAAAAAAATTTCGGAAGTTGTGTTAATGAATCGCCTCCTCTTCACGTGATTCGTGTTTGTACATACTTTTCTATGTTATAATCGTTATTATTTATTGTTTTTATTTTGTAAGCAGATTGAATATATTTAGATAAAAAAAAGTTTAAATATTGATTAGAAAAAAAGTTATTTCATTCGTCAGGTCATTCTGTTACACGTTGTATATCGATTTAAATTAATCATTGAATCTTTATGTAGCATTGTAACTATATCTACTATTATCAGAAATCTATAGTATTTAATTTTTATGTAAATACGGTTATTATGGTAGGTAAATAAACTACTTAATAAATAATAATAACAAATGCATACACTATAGAATACAAAATATGTTGATTTTAAGATAAAATATTTGTGTCTATAAAATACCCCAAAATTAATTAAAAAGCATAATATTTTACTGTTAGTACCTATTACTATTAAACAGTTTTTTTAAAACTTATTTTAATTTCCAATATAAAAATACACTAACTTAAATTATTATGTTGCTTACCTACTTTTGACTACGACAGTATTGGACGTTTGGACATAAAATAAATCATAAATGATAACTAATAATTATTATATTTGTAATAGTTTTATTATTACCTCTAAGATGATTGTATAGTTATTGTCAACAACATTTACTCGATTGTAAGTAACAAAAAAAATAATAATGTGTAAAACAATTTAACAATTTAATAAATTATATTATAAAATTAAAAAAGAAAATAAACCATTCGTATATAGATATAAATTAACACTATTTAGTCTCGAAACAAAAGTAAATAATAATAATAATAATAATATGAATTATTTTAAATCTTCAGTAAGAATTGTGTTTAGAATACGAATGTCTTCATCACACTGTCTGCAGTAACTAACATACCGTCGGTTTTAGCCGGCAGGACTTATCACGAAAGTGGGTTGCATTAGATATACGTTCAACGTGCGCACGCGCCAATAAACTTTTATCGTAAACATAACGCGATTGTATCGTTTTTCAAAATCCTATCAATAATTCATACGCTTAACTTGGTAGTTATAATCATAATAGTATATTATTTAAAATATCGATTGATTATTGTTTTGGACGGACTTACAAAATTTAGGTATAATACGCAGCACGCGTACGTATAGTTGGATGAAATCATTATTTTATACCTTTTGTACAAAATATTGGCACACAACTAGATTATTAACTATAAATATATATTTATATAAGTTCATATTATTATTATACACATGGATATTAATTAACATTTCAAGTTTTAAATTTCAACTCTAAATTAGTACTATAAAATTAGGTAGGTGGGAGGTACCTATTACGCGTATTGTTAGCATTTAAAAAAAATACACATATAATATTCTGTAGGTTTATAAGTAAACCGTGTATTTTTATAACAATTAAATTAAATGTTTATTACTAAGATGATGTTTTATAGGTATAGATAATATTTCAATATAATCAATAATTTATATGGATCTATAGAAATTGAAACTATAATACTTAACTCTTGGTCTGAAGTTAGTGTTAGTATATATATTACATTTTGAAAATAAATGAAAGAGGTAAGTATAGGTACAGTGACTATTAGAAATGAATTAAATTAAACATTAATGCAAAATATTATTTACACAATACCTACGTAAATATACATATATTATGTTAGATAATATTATATTATATAAATTATGTGATTTTATAATTCAGTTTATAATATATTTATATCATAAGTTATATAATGAATATTTGAACAGATCAAAAAAAACTTGTATATCCCCATCAACCCAAAATATTTATTTTATGCTTAAATAACAGTGATTTTTTTTCCGTGTGGATAAATTAAATTTTAAAAAAGTGTATAAAACATATTATACAAACAATCCAGCTCTATAACCAGTGAATTAACCACTATATCTCTATGATAAAGTAATTACCTACCCACTTATTGTTCAACATTCTACATTATGTTAAATTTATTTTAAAATATAAAATTTCCTTCGATGAAAAATGTCTACATTTTATATTTTATTAAAATAGATTTACCATAAA